AGCTGCGGCAGGGCAATCTGTACCCCACAGCTACATACCGCAAAGGGGCAAGAAATACCCCTGCCACAACTGATTGGCTGGGGGTTGTGAGGTGGGGGGTTGTCAGTTACAGTTTTAAGTGTTAACCCAGGAAACCGGGTTCACACCAAGCCCCAGCTCATCACTACGCTTCACTACTTATCACTACTCATGTATCTTCGCAACCAGTCACCGCTAAGAAAAAGCGGCTTGTACGCAAAGTCAAGTGATTATAAGCGGTAGGGTTAAGGTCCATCTCTGTTCCAACCATGTGATTGGTGCTGCCAGGCTTTGTGGATGAAGCCATCCTTAGCTAGGGTTGCCACCTGTCCAGGATTCACCCGGACAGTCCGGGTTTTGAATGCCATGGCAGCAGAAACCCGGACACAAGATGTCAGGCAGACAGGGGCAACCAAAATTAAGATAGGGGCTACCGCCCCCCCCCCCCCACTGAAAATAGTCTCAACTGTGATATTTACATATGAATAAGCCGCGACTCATTCTCCCCAAAAAACTGTCTGCACGGCGCTGGAGTGTTCGGGTTTTACTTGAAGAAAAGGTGGCAAGCCTATCCTTAGACCCGTGTCACCTCTGACCTGAGACCTGGAGCTTACACAGAACTTCTTCTACTGGCTCCTGCAGGCAAGGTGACAGAGGAGTAAAAGAAAGGCAAGTATAAGACACATGGGACCAAGATACAAACTGATAGTAAAGTCAAGAGGATATTAAACTATTTCAAATGTTGCTGATATCATTTACAATGGAAGCTGCTCCTTGATGTGTAAAAGTTTCAGTTTCCTGCAGAATCAGCTGATCCCCTGAGCACTGGTCCTGATATCCCGTTTTAGGGGGGCTCCTTTCCCTTGTAAGGTCCTATGGAGCCCCCCTTGTGTGTGTTAGTAAGCTGTGTTTGTCTTCACAGACACAGAAAGGAAAGACACTCCCCATCCCCCTGCTCCTCTCTTCTCCAAGCTAGTAGATGGACAGTTGCTGGACACTGCTCTGTCCCTTGTGATCTTGTACTGGACAGGAAGTTCAGGGAAGCCAAGCTGAGAGAGTCGGAGCCGTTCAGAAACATGATGGCTATAAGTGTTTGAGCAAAAAATGTAAAG